TGGAGGAGTCATCGTTAACTATGTGTGCGTGCAGTAGGACAAAGAGGAAACAGAGTCCTGATTATTGAACGCAGATCGTCGATGATTGTTACAGAACGGCTACGGGCCTGATTTGGCCCTACTATAGATTAGTTGTCAGTGGATTCAAAATGCACAACATTCTACTAACATGCGAGATAGAAGAGACCCTAGGCTAGACGAAGGCATAAAATGTTGCGATGAATCTGTCTATCGGAAACCCACAGGCCATTTAAACACAGGTGTCCGACAGATACAAGTTTGATTAAATTTACGGCACATGGTGAGCCTTATAGCTCAATGGTAGAGCGATGGCTGCGCAAAAGCCTTCCCTGCTGTGTGGGTTCGACTTCCACAAGGCCACGCATTTTTCACAACTGAGTCAACTAAATTAAGTAAATCCGCCAAAATCCCCTAAGAGATAAAAGAGTGTTCTCAACAGGAATTGATCGGTTCATTCCATTCCCGGATGGTAGTTCAACGTCGAGTCAACCGCAATGCCAGTCATCCCACAATACTTCGGCGCTGGAGACATATGAAGTCATCAAAGAGTCAAATGAAGGGATAGTTATAGGCTCATGCAAGAGGCCATATTTGACAAGATGACACGGAAAGCCGAGAGCCATTATCTATGCATCCTTCTTCACCAGGGAAATCCAGCTAGACTAACCGCGGTCAATGTAAAAAAAAATGAGGTTCTTACAGGCCCTGCGGTGAGTATAATCTGTCTACATGTTTTATTCTCCCAGCCAGGGGTTTGTCGACTGAATTGGAAAGTGTGCACGCTCCTATACTGTCTGATCAAACAACTTTTAGTTACTGATATAGGCCAGAGAAAACTGAGCACGTTAGGGGCGAACTTCAATTACCTTTCATGATTCGGGCGATTACGCTATTTCAATATAATACACGATAAATGTTACCGATATCCGGTGACAAAATATACAGTTGCAGTTCACAGCTCAGGGATTATACCCTCCAGCTCGTTGATTATTCACACAAATCCTTTACCACTAAGTTACTTACTTGTATTTAGTATGGATGCAATCGTGCCTGATCTAGCCGGGTTCGATAATGTCACAGAACAGGCCTGACGATCAGTGGCAGCAGACCTGGACAGTGTAACCCATTTACTTCTTCAGCAACGGTGACCACATACTTAAGGTATAGAAGAAATTTTCATAACTTGATTAACTAATTCGAGCCAGCTTTTGAATTGACTTCTTCTAAGACGACTCCTAGGGGGTAATTGTGTTAGATAGAAGGCAGAAACACTGAGCTCATGATGTGGATGACGAACAGCATGCCAAAACCACCTCCGTCGCATTTCTTGCGTTATCGCCGCCAGTACGGACCGAAGGATGGTCTTCAAGCAGTGGTATTCAAATGCTTCCAATTTTCGCGCATTTTCCACGCGCCGTCGAACGCGTACAGAAGGACTGTCCAGACGGATTTTCGGTATGCACGAATCTTCGTTGCAATAGACGCGTGAGGACGGATCCATAGACACTTACTAAACCCTGAGAGAACCCGGCGGGCAGCATCGATTAGGGAGAAAGTGCAATTCTTATTAATTCCATTTAACAGCAGCTTCATCCCGAGGTATCTTAAACGGTCTACTTCTTCCAGCTAACAGCCACTTATCTGGATAGGTGCCTTCAACTTGCAAAGATTTTGTTCTTATCAACGTCTATGGATAAAGAGATCGATTTAACAACCTTACTCACTCGTAATACCATAGACTGTAGATCACCTAAGCTAATGTAGTCGAGATCAGCCAGCCGGCGTCCTATGACTTCGCGTAGGGCGTATCACGAAGCTAGAGGTTTATCCCCTGTTAACTGTAATGGGGAATAATCAGTTACACCGGAGCAACGTTCACTAATGCCTTCGGTCTGTGAGGACAAATACCATTTAATTCTTCTTCATTCGCTTCAGTAATATTTACCAATTTAAGGCAGATACCTATGCATGTTATACAAGGAAATGCAGACCCACCATAGGGCTTTTGAAAAAAAAACCTTCAGTTAACTTCCTACGGAAGCTCTTAATTCTACTGAACGGTTCATATAATGAACATTACGCATATTATTCTGTGAATGAAAAATATCAATGGAGGTATAACTAATGAAAACAGTTTACCTTAGGCAGCAGCTCCTCCGCTTCAAGTTCACGTTTCTCAGTCAAAATCTGACTCTGAAGTAACTTGAGTAGGTTTGATGGAAGATCGAGTTCCTTGGCCGTGGATGCGAAAGAAGAACTTCGCAACAGCCAGGAGAGTTTCTGTGACAGTTTCACGTCATTGATAATGCCTGGAGCCAGATAGGTAACCCGCGTAACTTCGTGAACATTGCGCATTCTTTTGCGAATGAGGCTGAGTGCCGCTTGCACCACGGACAATTGTGCAGAACGGATAAATAAGGATGTTCGACTTATATTTTCCGAGGAGGGTTGACAGACGCCGCCATGGGAGGAGTCGGTGACATCAATACTACAGTTGACGCACATACCAACGACGACAGCGGGGACAGGAGGAGGAGGAGGACCGCACCTTTCCCGACTAGTCTGTTTCAAGTAAAACAAAAACACGCGCCTTTGACGGAAATGTTTGATGATGGGCGTGGACGTGAGGGAACAACACAGTTCTTCGCAAGTGACCAATAAGAAAACAAACTCATTTTTTAGAAAAAAAGCAACTAACCATCTGGGAAGAAGACGGTGTACGTGGAGAACTGCAATGTCCGGTTGAGCACAATGCGGGGATGCCCAGGGCAGGACTCGTCGGGGAATGCAAATTGGGGTTGTCCTCACCATC